AACCAACTCTGAACACACATTGAACGACTAGAAGGCAATAATAAAGCAAAAATATAGAAAAAATATAGTGCGGGTGTGAGTTTGGAAAGTTAAAAAGTGAGGGAATGTGAAAGATTTTGAACTTTTGAACTTTTGGCCTTTAAAAACTGTGCAGTTCTGACCCATTCAACGACATTAGTCATGCTCGCCGACCCACTCGGTGACGCGCCAAGTGGGCACTTACCTCACCGAGTTTTATAGGACCTCCAGTTAATGTAGGGGTCCAAACGACAGACAAAGGCGTGATCATTGACCTTGTCGGCGATTCACCAATTTGCTCATGGGCTCGCCAATTTTTACAGACTCTAATTTCAAAATTCCATGAGTCCAACGGAGGTCCAAATCCGGCTCGCCGACCTCTTCAGCGAGTGGATATTTTGATCGCCAATCTCCACTTTTCAAATACATTCCACATTTTAACCTACACAATCAACACACGATTATTTCAAAAACAAAAATAAAGCAATAAACACTTGTGTTGCCTTCCAAAGAGCGCCTTCGTTAACGTCATGGCACGATGCAATTCCCCATTCAATCTTGATTTGTGGGGTAGAGACGAGACAACACATGATCCATCTGAGTCTCAAATAACTAAATAGATATTGAATAGGAAGCAGTCATCTGGTTCAGCAGTGAGACGTTCTCTTTTATCTCATTCAACATTTTGTCGTGTTCTTCGACTTTATGGAGAATGAGTGAGAGAATCTCTTCTATTTGTCCATCCTCGTGCTCCTTGAACTTTCTACGCTTATGAGGGTGAATGTACCGATCTTTCTTTTTGTACGGTACCTCAAATTCCATAATTTTTTTGGCCACGAGATCCAACTGAGTCAACAGTGTGGCCAAAATCTGGTCCTTCTCAGTCTCCTTGTTGGTCTTGGGCATGTGATCAAGGAGTTGGGTTGCTATTGCATAAGGTAGTCATATGAGACCACCTCGAGAAATTTGGTCAGCCACTATTCTATTTTCGGGACCAAGACCCCTGTAGAAGCTTTCTAGAAGCTTTCTAGAAGCATCTTATCTGGAATTCCATGAGTTGGGCACTATTGCAATAGGGCATTAAATCTTTGCCACAACTCATAAAAGGTCTCACCCTCAAATTACTTGAAAGTTAGGATGTCATCCCTAAGAATCATCAATCTCAAAGGTGGGTGATCCATTTGGTCACTGTTGCTACAAGACATGCTCATTTTCCCTGCTCTAAACAAGCAACACACAAAACAAAACTAAAAATAAGTAGATTCAACTATGACAAAAAAAAGAAAAAAATTCAATTTAACCAAAGAATCTTAACCAACACAACTCCCCGGAAGCGGCACCATTTTGATTAAAGTTTCAAGGACACTTCATCCAATTTTAAGTGTCAATGATCGCTAGTCAGTATATAACCCAACTAAATGAGTTGGGGTCGAATCCCACAGGGAGTGGTACGTGCTTAAGATTCAATAGAAAGGTATAAATATGTTCAAATCAGCCAAAGGAATAGACATTTACGAATAAAAACATAATTTAAATTAGGGGGTGACATGAATGTCAAATAACAGGGGGTTTTGGTTTGAAATTATCAGCTACAACAACAACAAATAACACAATAATAATAATAATGAGATGGGTTCTTGGGATGTGATTTGATTATAGGATAATGTAGACAAATTGGTAATTGCAACTGTTAGGAAATAGCTGAATATTAGTGAATAAGCTAGATTATAGAGGAGGTAAACTTTCTCTCAAACAATTTAACCTGAATCAAGTCACTTTCTCTCGAACATCGACAAACATACAAAATAAGAATAGTCTACACCTTAGTCCATTCACTCTCTCGAGATGAATATGTGGAAAAGGGTTTAGGATTCATTCTCTCGAGTTGAACCCATGACAAACCAATACCACAAACCATCAATCAATAATCTTGGTTTTAAAACCTCTATCTCGAGCAAGCCAAAAATACGAAGTTAGAACTGCATTTGCAATTACAATTTTTTAAGTTAAACCACAATTAATGATTGAAATCATTTCTAAACAGCATTTAAACTAGCAATTAGCAATACCCATAAACTAAATCAGTCCATGATCACATAATCACACCCCAAGAATTGGGTTTTTAGCTAGACATCATAAAAAGATAAAAATCGTTACCAAATTTTGTTTCCATCAACTGGGTAAGATTAATTTCATCTTTACAAAGGTCCAAATTGAAGAATCTCAAAGACCCACTTCCAATTTCTCAAAAGTAAAAACTTTAATTCTTCAAAACTAAGGAAAACTTGTCTCAATACTCAGAGTTCAAACTGAAAATTAAGTCTAAAGATTGTTAAGAATAATACTTGATTAAAGATAAGATGCTAAAAAAATGTCCAAAAACGTATTTATAGTCGCCAAAAATATGCTGCGAAGGACCATTCGGCGCAGTAAGTCAGGCTCGCTGATCAACTCGCCGATCTGCCCTTAGGTTAATTCCATCACCTTTTTGCTTTGGCCTTCAGCATCCTCCAGGTCTGTAACTTTCGGTGATCTAATACTGCATCGCGGTACCACTCGGCGATTTGCCGATTGCTCCTTTCCATCGCCAACTTGATTTTCTCCTTCAAGGCTTGACACACTGGAAGTTTAGGTGGTCAAATGGCCATTCGGCGACTCGCCAAATGGACTTGGCGATCAGCAGGCTCTCTTTTCTTCCTTCTTTCAGCTCGCTTCATTCCTTTTTGCAAATTAGTGTCCATGCTTTGTTCCTCAATCCATAGACCTAGAAATCAAGGGTTTTTCATAAGTTATTGGCACAAAATAAGCATTTGAGGACACTAAATATGTCCAGATAAAGCCCTAAATGAGTCCAAATCTTGGACTCATCAATAGCAACACAATTTGTACTAGGAAGCTAAAACATACAAGTTTAACAGTTGAATTATTAATAAAGCTAAAGTTTAATAATAATGTGGAAGCAAAAGAATCTCCCAAGAACTGGTGTTACATTGTTGTGAGCAAAACTAAAAGACATGGTACAAATAACTCAACTAGTAGAGAGATCAACAATGAAAATACAAAAACATAAAGCTAGAAAGAATTATGTCTATTTTGTTGTGATAAAAACAAAATTCAAACAAAAATTATTCAAGTCAGCCAAAAAAATATGCCATGAATGTAGTTGTGTTATCATATATACCAAACAAACAATTCACAAACTAGATTTCAGGTAGCAACGATAAAAGTTTATGTTAAAGAGCTAATAATCAAAGCCATTTCAGAAAGTAGTTGTCGAGAAAATAATGTCTACACTTCCTACATTTTCTCTAGCTATCATGTCTATCTCAATATCAATCACTTTGTTGATGTCCCTTCAACACATCCTTGTATGTCTTGTCTCATGCAGTAAAATAATCTCCACAAAAAGTTCTTGTTGTTCCATTCTGCAATACCATCCACAAAGTGAAAGATAGATCTACATGTATAAGAAAAGAATATAAAGATTATAGACGTAATTTGAGAATCACTTCACAGGATTGTAGATGCAAGTACAAGCAGCTCAACATCATTTATAAGCGTTCTCATCACTAAATCATTGGTACACATGAACTCCACCATAGCAGTGTATTTCTCATACCTACAAATAATGGGAAATGCAAACCAATTTATAGTAAAAACAGTCCTCGGCAAGGGATATGTTTTGCAAAGTAGAAGTGCATCCTTGTCGAGGCATGTTTTTACTAGAAATGGATTCACATTTCCCATTATATGTAGGTTTGAGAATCTACTGCTCTGGTGGAGTTCATGCGTACCAAAGATTTAGCGATGAGAATGCTTATAAATGATGTGTAGCATCTTATACTTGAATCTACAACCCTATGCACTGATTCTCAAAGTATGTCTATAATCTATATATTCTTTTCTTATACTTGTAGAGCAGTCTTTCACCTTGTGGATGTTCTTTCTGAATTGAACATCAAGCACTTCCTGTGGGGATTATTTACCGCATGAGACAAAACATAAAAGGATGTTCTGAAGGGGGCAACAACAAACTGATTGACATGGAGATAGACATGCACTACAAAAAACCCCTGAATTGCCAACAAAATTATCGGTTGGTAAATTGATTAAATTGGTTAGCAAATGAATTTTCCAACTGAATACCAACTAATGTTAATCCATTGCTAAAAAGCTTGTCACTAATTTTTAACAACCCATTTCAGTTAGTTGGTAAAATTACCGACTAAAATTCAGTTGGTAAACACATAAACAACTTGTTGGCAATTGTTGAAATGTCACCTTTTAATTTTTGTTGGTAAATTCACCAACCAATTTTTGGTTGGAATATTGTTGGTAAGTTTACTAACGAAGAGCAAAAGAGTTAGTAAATTTGGTTCTTCATTATTCAATTTTGTTAGTAATATGTTGGCAAATATACTAAAATAAAATAAAATGTTGTTACTATTCCGTTAGCAATTATATAACATATAACAACTTGGTTGGTAAGTTCGATAGTAAATTCACTAAAATGCATTGGTAATCGATTAGCAATTTCAGTTAAGAAAAAAAGTGTGTTGGTATTTCGTTAGTAAATTACCAACGAATTTTAAATCTGTAAGTAAGTATGACTATCTACTTTTGTAACTTACGTTACTAATTGGTTAGTATTTTAGAAACACAAAAAGCTCATTACTAATTTGTTAGGAAGCTTACTAACTGATTGTTAATTTGTTGGTAATGTATATCATTTATGTTCAATATTTGGTCAGTGATTGATTGGTAATGTATATTGACATATTACTGACTAAATAGTAATTCGATAGTAAAGTTTCATTGTATATATTTGTATTAATCAATAGCTTTTACGAAACTTAAAAAGTCTGGAAACATACAGTGGTTCTTTGATAAATTATAACTTGAATAAACAATGCAAAACCAAAGATTAATTCAAAATAAATACAAAAACAAGCATTGCAAAACCTAAGATGAAGATTTCAAAATAAAACCAAATAAGGAAGCAAACAATGCAAAATCTAAGATGAAGAGTTCAAAATAAATCCAAATACGGAACAAACAATGCAAAATCTACTTAGGATAGTTTGAAAAATTTAAATGACTCATATCATTATTTGATAATGGGTCATGTCTAAGCTAAGGTGGTGTACCAGTTGGAGGTGTACCAGTGGGCAGTGTACTAGGGGGTGGTTTAGGCAGCCCAGCTATGAGGATGGGCAAACGTTCTTGGAGAATCTTATCAACTTGCTCTTGCATTTCTAGCTGCATTTCATGTTTCATTTCTTCATGCAATTCATGTCGTATCTCTTCTCTCATCTCTTCTCTCATCTCATGCTTCATCTCCTCTTTCATTTCTTGAACATATTCCTTCACTCGAGCATCAAAACTACAATCTTGAGGTTGAGTAGTTGAAGCAGACGATGAACCAATGTTCTCATAGAATACTGCTTGAGAACCAAGACCATATATACATGCCTTCTTAACCCCACCCACTTCATCCATGTAAATCTTTGAAAAATCTACTGTCGGTGACTCACCAGATTCATCTACAAGTTGAGATGCAGATGTGATCTTAGACATTACAGCATCCTGAAAAAACAAAATATATGATATTATGATAAGAAAAAATGAATAGCGATTATAAACATATAAGACAATTGATATCAGTCGACAATCTTTGTCCCTAACAATACCTCCTCCACCACACTTATCATTTCTACAGCTGCAATTAACATTTATTTTGACATACGCACCTGTAGTTCATATTCAGTGTACAAAAATAGTCTTTTAGGGACTAAGTTTTTTTTTTTCCAGAACTGAAAAGATAGCATTTCATATTAGTTAGTAAAGCTATGATAGTTCAAAATCATACAACTAAACATGCTAAGAACACATAATTATCAGAACGCAACAAATGAACAGGTATGCATATTATGGAACCCATAATGGTACGACGTTATCTTGATTGACAAGGAGGCGCAATTCATTTATTGCTTAGTTAAAGGAAGAATTGATGGATCTGAAGTCGTGGTCACCATAATCGATGGTTATAATAGCTTGGAACAAAGAAAGTCAATGCGGGTGAATCTACAGTAACTTGGCCAATTTATGAATAAACCTTGGTTGCTACGGGGTGATTTCAATGTTGTACTCTCACCAAATGATAGACTAATGGGGAATCACATGACTCAGGGTGAAACACAAGATTTCTCAGACTATATACAACAATTATCTCTCAGCGAACTACCATGAAAAGGAGAATTTTTCACATGGAAAACAAACTATCAGAGGCTGATAGAATATGGAGTATGCTGGACAGGACTTTTGGTAATTTTATCTGGATGATGATCTATGGACATGTGCGATTGGAGTATGACCTGCCAATGAATTCTGATCACAGGAGGATGAAAAAGTATGGTTTAAGCTGAGGGCACTAAAGCCACAACTCAAAAGGTTGCATAGTAGAGAATTTCATAATATAAACCAACAAATTGATAGTGCCAAGGAAAAATTTAAGGTAGTTCAAGAACACTTGAGTATGCAGTGTATTAATGGGATAATAATTGAAGAAAAGGCCCTCTTATTGAATTTGGAGAAGTGGTTTTTAATAAAGGAGAGCATCTTGTAGCAAAAGTCTAGGGCGAGGTGGATTAAGCTTGGAAATTCCAACACAAAGCATTTCTCTGCAGTGATGAAGCTAAGAGCTCACAGAAAACAAATATCTGAAATGATGTCTTTATCAGGAACCAATGGTACCACTCTTGAGGACACACAAACTGAAATTGTAACTTTTACAAGAGTTTTATGGGTTCTGCAACTCTTAGCTACAAGCAGTAGACAAATCAATTATGAGAAGAGGACCTACACTTCCTCTAGAAAAACAAACTACTCTATGTGCTGAAGTTACCGACCAAGAGATTATAGATAGTCTCGGTTGCATTGATAAAAGTAGGGCCAGTAATCCGCAATGATGCTTGTTAGCTGTTAAAGAGTTCTTTCACACTAGAAAGTTATACAGAGCCATCAACTGCACCACTACGACATTAAGTTCCCTCTTTGTTAATCTCTAATTTTATGACCATGTGTTTAATGTTTGGGATAAACATGATGGATGAAGATTAAGCGAATCCTCAACAAAAATTAAGAAAGATAATTAGTAATGTTTGGCATTACTTACATATGTTCTCTTAGACTTCAGATCCACAAACTCATTGTTTCCTTTGGTATGTGTCTTCTTCAAAAGTTCATGCGGATAAGGTGGTAGTCCAAGAACATTCGCCTAAAATTGAAATCACATCTATTAAAGTTATTACATAAGGAATAACTTTAAATAACTATAACTTGACAAAATGAAAATAATTGTACCAGTTGTCTTGCATGCTCTCGGTGAGTCCGGGAGCCTCCAGTATGGCG